CCTAGCTGCCCTTCAGGTCTGGAATTGAACGCACATCTGTGGCTTCCAGCCAAACAGTAGACAGGCATATCAATTGAGCATTTACCTGAGGTAGATACACTCCTTGGAGAGAATAAGCATGAGAGAAAGAAGGGCTGCTCAGGCACAGGGACACAGCTCAGGGGGTAGGAGTGCATGGAGAGATGGACACAGGGAAGAGGTAACTATTGGGAGGAAGTGGGAGGGGAGATGTTGCCTTGTGCTAAATTGTGGTCAATGTCATGAGATAAAGTGTATGTGACCTGCTGTATGGAAAGTGTATTTGCTCTGTAAATTTTCACCCAAATCACAATTAAAAAAACGTAAAAAAAAAATTCTGTATTATTTGGGAGGAATAACCAACTCTATATAATGTGCATTCTCTCAAGCCTCTAAGGATCTTAATGTATCTATCAGCTTCTGAGGGAGATGCAGTCCACAAATTTCATTTCTGTAGGTATTTTATTGTTATTAGGTGCTGCCGCATAGTTTCCAACTCATAGTGACCCTATGTACAACAGAATGAAACACTACATGGTCCTGAGCCATCCTCACAATCCTTGCTATGTTTGAGCCCATTGTTGCAGCCATTGTGTCAATCCATCTCATTGAGTGTCTTCCCTTTTTCACTGACCTTCTCCTTCACCAACCATGATATTCTTCTGCAGAGACAAGTCTCTCCTGATAACATGTCCAAAGTATGTAAGACTAAGTCTCACCATCCTCGCTTACAGGGAACATTAAAGTTGTACTTTTTCCAAGCTATATTTATTCATTTTCCTGGCAGTCCACAGTATATTCAATGTTCTTTGCCAACACCATAATTCAAAGGCATCAATTCTTCAGTCTTCCTTATTCATTGTCTGCCTTTTGCATACATATGCATTGATAGAAAATACCAGGGCTTGGGTCAGAAACACCTTCCTCCTCAAGATGATGTGTCTGCTTTCTAATACTTTAAAGAGGTCTTTTGCACCAGATTTGTCCAATGCAATATGTCATTTGATTTCTTAAGTGCTTCTTCCATGGGCATTGATTGTGGATCCAAGTAAAATGAAACTCTTGACAACTTCAATATTTTCTCTGTTTATCATCATGTTACTTATTGGTCCAGTTATGAGAAGTTTTTCTTTATGTTGAAGTGTAACCCATACCACAGGCTGTAGTCTTTGATCTTCATCAGTAAGGGCTTTGAGTCTTCTTCACTTTCAGCAAGCAAGGTTGTGTCATGTGCATACCGCAGGCTGTTAGTTAATGAGTCTTCCTCCAATTCTGATGCCATGTTCTTCTTCCTATGGTTCAGCTTCTTGGATTACTTGCTCAGAATACATATTGAATCACCACCACACCCACTGCTGTAGAGTCAGATCCAACTCATAGCGACCCCTCCTTGGGTTTCCAAGGTAGTATCACTGTGGAAGTAGATTGTCCAACCTTCCTTCCAAGGAGTGGCTGATGGGTTTGAACCTCCAGCCTTCTGGTTACCAGTCAAATGCCTTAGGCAGTACACCACCAGAACGCCTACATATTGAATAAGTATGGTGAAAAGATAAACCCTGCTGGTATTTGAAATACCGGTAACATAGCTTCCACCATCATAGCAACCTGTAAATCACCAGAGTATGACAAACTGACAGCTGAATGGTGGAGAATTATTAGAGAGAGGTGTTATTTCCACGTGAAAGGTAGACATCAAAGAGAGAGGCTCCCAAGATCACTAAGGTGGCAATCTCCTAAAGCAGAAGTTTGACCCTGACTAATTCCTTCAGGAAGGTTGGGCAATCCTACTTCCGTAGTGATACTGCCTCGGAAACCCAAGGAGGGGTCGCTATGAGTCGGGGTTGACTCGACGGCACATAACAACAACAACAATTCCTTCAGAGGAATAAAAGGAGCCTTTTGTAATGATAATAGTATGGCTTTTTAGGTATCATGTGGGGCCTAACTTGAATGGGTTACCTGGAATAACCTGTAATGTAATTCACTTTTCACACTGTTGTAAGTAAGTCTTGCCAGGTGCCTTAGTTTCCTAGGACTGCCATAACAAAATACCACAAACTGGGTGGCCTAAAAGAACAGAAATTTATTCCTTCCCAGTTCTGGAGGCTAGAAGTCCAAGTAACATGTTGGCTGGACCATGGTCTCTCCAGAGTCTCTAGAAGAAGATCCTTTCTTTTCTGTCCCACTTTCTGGTAACTCCAGGTATTCATTGGCTTGTAGGTACATCTTCAGATGGCCATAGTTCCCTTATGTGTCTTTCTTTGTGTCTTCTCTTTTGTAAGGACAACACTCAGATTGGATTAAGACCTACCTTATTCCAATGTAACCTCATGTTAACTGTTACCATCTTCCGAGACCCTGTTTCCAGGGACAAAGTTCTGATAACTTCTTAGCCACAGCCAAACACCCTGATGAAGCAAGTTGTTGGACCTGTGGACTTGGGACCATGGTCATGGGGGACATCAAGCTCAATTGGCATAACATACTACACAAAAACATTGTTCCACATTCTACTTTGGTGAGTAGTGACTGGGGTCTTAAAAACTTGCAAACGGCCATCTAGATGCAACAATTGGTCTCTACTCATCTGGAGCAAAGAAGAACGAAGAAAACCAAAGATGCATGGAAACAATTAGTCTAAGGGACTAGTGGACCATGGGAACTTCAGCCTGTATGACAGTGAGACCAGAAGAACTAGATGATGCCCGGCTTCCATTATCAACCACTGGGAAAGGGATCAGTCCAGGAGATCCTGGATAGAGTGGGAGAAAAATGTGGGACAAAACTCAAAATCATAAAAAAGACCAGGTTTACTGGTTTGACACAGCCTGGTGAAACCCCAATACTGTGGCCCCTAGTTACTTTTCAGGCCTGGAATTGAACTCACTCCCATGGCTTCCAGCCTAACAATAGGCATATAGTGTGAACATCTACACTATGTAGATACACTCTTTAGAACAGTCAGTCATGGGAGAACCAAAACCAAAGACCAAATCCACTGCCATTGAGTAAATTCCAATTCATGGAGACCCCCATTGGGTTTCCAAGGTTGTATATCTTTACAGAAGTAGATTGCTCTGTCTTTTTTCTGTGGAGTGGCTGGTGGGTTTGAACTGTAACCTTCCGATTAGCAGTCAAATGCCTTAGGCACTACTCTACCAGAGCTCCTTCATGGGAGAACAGAAGGGCAGTAGTTGTACAGGGGGATAGCTGAGGGGGCAGGAATGTATAGGAAAAAGGACACAGGGAAGAGGTAACTACAGGGAGGAAGTGAGAACAGAGCTGTTACATAGTGGGATTGCAGTCAATGTCATGAAACAAAATGTGTATGAACTGCTGTATGGAAAATGAATTTCTCTGTAAACTTTCACCCAAATCACAATAAAAATTAAAAAAAAAAAAAAAAGACTCTGTGTCCCAGCAATGTCATGTTGTCAGGTATGAGGGTTAGGACTTCAACATATACTTCTGGGGGACACAATTCAGTTCATGTTGTTGTTGTTGTTATGTGCCGTCAAGTTGGACCTGACTAACCCGACTTGGGTTGCCGAGGCAGTATCACTATGGAAGTAGATTGCCCAACCTTCCTTCCGAGGAGTGGCTCATGGGTTTGAACCACCAGCCTTCTGGGTAGCAGTCAAGTGCCTTAGACACTACCAGAGCTCCTCAATTCAGTTCATAGCACCATGTTTTCCTTTTCTTTCAGATACCTCTTTCTCCTGACTGGAGGGCATCTCCTGGCCTTGGCTGCCATGGGTTCTTATGCTGTGCTTGTCTTCATCCCTGCTCTCTGTGCTGTGGTTCTGATCTACACTCTCAGCCCACAGGAAGTCCATAGGTGCACTTTCTTCTTTCAGATGAGCTGGCAGACTCTGTGTCACCTGGGTCTGCACTACACAGAGTATTATCTTCAAGAAGCTCCTTCCATGAGGTAAAGAAACGTTCATTTGGTAGTGCAACAGCTTGTACTGAGCCTACCAAGGGTTTGCTTGCACCACAGTGATAGTGGAGAAAGCCTGGACATTGAGTTTGAATCATTCTTCCACATTTGAGCAATACAAACTTGAGCAAGTGATTTAACCACTCTCAATCTCAATTTCTTTTTTTCAGGGGAAAAAAAATGAGGATAACAATACCTGTCTTGTAAGATTGTTGTGTTGGGTGTAATGAATATAAAAGTAGTTATATAACTACTAATAGTTCTCATGTGTTGCCTAGGAACACTATACTGGCACTCAGCTGTGATTATCAGTGTGCCTGAGGAGGCTGGGGGAGATGGGGAGGAGCCCACATGAGGCCTGTCTGGCTAAGTGTAGTTTTCTGGTTGCACTGTGAGTGGTTTACACATGCAGCTAGCAACCTCACAGGTTGACAGGACAGGGAGCACAACACAATGCAATGTACTGCCATTGTTGGATCTGACTGATAGCAACCCATCCTTGGGTTCCCAAGGCAGTATCACTACAGAGGTAGATTGCCCAACCTTCCTTCCAAGGAGTGGCTGGTGGGTTTGAACCTCCAGCCTTCTGGTTAGCAGTCAAATGCCTTAGGCACTATGCCACCAGAGCTCCTAACGTGACAGGGAAGATATACCAAAAAAACAAAACAAAACTCACTGCTGTTGAGTCTATTCGACTCATAGTGACCCTTCCTAGGGTTTCCGAGGCGGTATCTCTATGGAAGTAGATTGCCCAATCTTCCTTCTGAGGAATGGCTGGTAGGTTTGAACCACCACCCTTCTGGTTAGTAGTGAAATGCCTTAGGCACTATGCCACCAGGAAGATGTAAGCCAACTGTAAACTCTCACTGCCTTCCCATGCAGCTGCTAAGAAAGAGGCAGCTGCTTATGCAAAAGTTTTCCTTTCATCCAGATTCAGCTGTTTCCATCTCCCCAGAAAGAAGAGGAGCCACCCAATCTGGTGGGAAGGAAAGAAAAAAAAAAAAAAAAAATCAGGAGCTAAGAGTCCAGGGTCACTAAAGAGAATGGAAGCTGTGACCTGTCTCAGTGGGTTCCCTATCTGATTCTAGCCTGCCACTGTTTCACTCACTTTGCTATCCCTACCACACCCAGAATCCTTTTCTTTCTTAGAACTATTTTCACCAAAGGCATCAGGACTTGCTTCTTTGAAGAAAGGACAAGATAGCAGGTACTAACTAACTACTAACTCACTGCCATCGAGTCTGATCTGACTCATGGTGACCCTTTCTTGGGTTTCTGAAGTGGTATCACTACAGAAGTAGATTGCCCAGTCTTCCTTCTAAGGAGTGGCTGGTGGGTTTGAACCACCAGCCTTCTGGTTCGCAGTCAAATGCCTTAGGCACTGCTGCACCAGATCTCCCAGATGGCAGGTAGACAGGGGGAAATACTGACTAGGATATGGTGAATGAGGATTTCAGTAGGAAGCACGGGCTGGAAGAGCAAGTTGAACGGGATCTGGCATGAGAGGAAGGCTGAGCCAGAACTTCTCTCATAGCAGGAGACAGAGCAAGATGGGTGGCATTTGGAGGCTACTTTGCTTTCAGGGTTTTTTTTTTTTTTTTTGAGTCCCTGGGTGGTGCAAATGGTTAACATGCTCAACTGCTAACTGAAAAGTTGATGGTTCGAGTCCACACAGAGGCACGTCTGAAGAAAGGGCAGTGATATACTTCTAAAAACATCAGCTACTGAAAACTATGTGGAGCACAGCTCT